ACACCCCCCACAGCTTGCAGCTTGTGCCCTCGACATTCCTAAATTCCTCCAGCAGCCACCCACCCTGGGCAGAGGAAGGCTCCAGAGTGAGACCCTGGGCTCCTGCTCACCAGTGACAGTGGCTGTGGGTGCACAGGAGCCCGGATGCCTGGGTTCCCTTGCCCAGGGTTGGAGGGGGCAGCTGGGGTGGGGAAGGGGCTGTGAGAGCAGCACCCAGTACCAGCCCCACTCTTCACCCACATGTGCCTGGGCTGGCCACGGTGGCAGTGGTTGGCAATGAGTAGACACCACGGAAAAACCTGTGGAAAGCATCATCCAGCTGGGTAAACTGAGGTGTGAATTTTGGGGAGGGGGAGCCGGTGAGGAGTGGGGCTAGTGTGTGTCACCCATGTCCCTGTTGCCACCCCTGTGTCAGGGAGGGGCTGAGGGTGGTGGGTGTGTGGCAGGCGGGCACCCGGTGTGGGGAAGGCGAGTGGAGACGGGAGGAGGGGGAAGAGCAGGACTGCCAAAATCAACTCCGGGCGGTACAAACACCCGGCCAGCTGTGTGGTGTAGCTAGGGAAACACAGCACAGCTGGAGCACAACAGGCCCCTGCCTCCCCAGAAGACTCCTCCTGGGCCTCCCCACAGCCCACTGAGTGACTGGAGGGGCTGCAGCCCACTGCCCCACGCCCCCAGTGCTAGCCCACATGGGATTGCTCATCCCCAGCTCACTCATGGCTGCCCCATCCCGTTCCGTGTCCCAGTTTGGCACATGTCCCCATGCAGTGGGCACCTCTCCCAGGGAGGGCAGTGGGGCACAGGGGCTTGGCCATGCTGGAGACCTGGCCCTTGGCAGGAGCTGGCAGAAGGCAATGAGGAGCAGCTGGGGTTCCCTGGGCAGGACAGCCTGCCAGCATTGCCAGGGCTGGGACACTGCCAGGACCACGGGCATCCCCCCGGGCATGGCTGTGCCCGACACCCTGCTGCTTGCAAGCACTTTCTGCAAGCAGGAACCATGCCAGGCAGCATGGCACCCCTTGCCCCTGTTCCCTCCTTGCTGTCCTCAGTAGTTTCACTGACCTGTCCCCTCTCCTCTCTCCTGGTATCCTCGCTGGCTTGGGATCCAGTGACATGGAGGGCAGGGGAGGGTTGGGGTCTGTGTGGCTGTGCCAGCGTTGCTGCACAGTGCCCGCTGCAGCACGGCAGCGGCTCTGGGGATGGCGGAACGCGAGCAGGGCTGAGCAGGGAGGAGGCGGGTGATGACTCCCAGCTGTCCTGCTGGTGCCAGGAATCCAGTGCTGGCTCTGTGCACCCAGAGCTCGTCACAGTCTCCTGGCTCGTCTGCAGGACATGGGGAAGCAATGGGGGAAGCTCCCTCCCTTTTCCTAGGGAAAGGAGGGAGAGGCGGGGAACCCTCCTGGCTGCAGCTCTCCGCATGGGGGAATCCGAGGCACGGGGTGGCAGCATGAGGGAGAAGGGGGCTGCAAATGTATCCTGGCACTTCCAGGCTGGGACCAGGTTGGTACGCTGGCAGGGGGCCTGACAGGGCAGGTGGGTGCTGGGCATCCCTGCCCAGGGAGGGAGCGCGGCCACTGTACTGGGAGCACATGGGCAGGGAGGAAATGGATGCCCCAACTGTGCCTGGAGATCATCCACAGCCTGATCTGCCCCTGGAAATGCCCCCCCCCCCATCAAGGGGAAGGGGTTGCTTACCAGAACCTGGGGGGGTCCCTGTACTCTTGGAGAGAGGGGTGGTGCCTGCTGAGGGTGGCGCTGGGAAAGGGTCCTGGTCTTGCCAGCTGCTTCCCAGCGCCTGCACATGTGTGTGAGCAGCAGCGCCCTGCACAAAGGCAGCTCTGAGGCTCCAGAGCTGGGCCTGACTCCGGCACATCCCCAATGGGGCTGCTGGCTACAGGCAGCTGGAGCTGCACCAGAATGGAGGCAGCTGGCCATGGTCAGCCCCAACCGCCCCGCCTGGCACCCACACCCCTCTGCCACCTTTACCCAGAGCGGGCACTGGCTTGTCCCCCTTGGGAAGGTGGTGGTCCCATGAGCTGTCATTCCAATCTCAGCAAGCATGGGTAGGACGCTCCACAGGTGCCCCCCAGAACAGCCTGCAGTGCTGCCAGGGCTTCGTGGGCAGATGCCCTGCCCAGTGGTGAGGGTCTTATGAAGGATTCCAGAGGGTCGTGGTGCCAGGGCTGTGCCATGCCTGGCACGGAGGCATCGCAGCAGGCCCTCACCCGTGCTCTGCCTCATGCAGTTCCCATTGTCTACCCTCATTAGCCGCTGCCTGCTCGCGGCTTTGAACATGAGCCGGGCTTGGGGCGGCAGGAAGGAGCCTCTACTCCCCAGGGATGGGGTCATGGCGAAACTGCATGCCCTAGCCCCCTCTTCCCACAGCTTCCCACTGCCTCCTGGGCACCCCAGCGCCCCTCCAGCACGAGCCTGGAGATGGGAAGGCATGTGGGTCACCCCTTCTCTCCAAAAAGAGCCCCCCTGGACTGACCTGCCTTGTCATGGGGCGTGGAGAGCCATCAACCTCCCCAAAGCTTTGTGCTGAGTGTGGCTTGTGCCGTGTCTAATCCCCCCGGCCTCACACACACGCGGCGGGGCGGGGGGGGCTGTCGTAATGGGTGGAAATATCTCATAATTCACGTTGGACACAGGGATTACAGCCATTCCGGCAATATTTGCACAACTGGTAGGCGACTTACAGGGCTGGGCTGTCCCAGACGAAGGCTAAGGGGGGTCTGGGGATTGAGGGGGTTTTGGGGGTGGCAGGTACAGGAGGGGAGGATGCAGTTTGAGGGGTGGTGGAGGGGGGAAAGTGGTTGTTTTCTGTCTGTGAACAAGTGGAGTTTATTACAGAGGGTGTGTTGCTGGCACGGTGGGAATGGCTGGGGCTCTTGCCTTCATCCCATCCTGCTGTGGTGGCCATGGCTTGGGGAGCAGAACGGAGACCCCAAAAAAGTCTTGTCTGCCATGGCAAGCAGATCCTGGCAGTGCCCTTGAACACCACGCCTGGTCCCAGTGCCCCATCAAAGCCACAGAGCTCCCTACTCACAGGAGCACCCAAAGGTGCTGGTGTCTCTCTGGCCCCAAATGTCCCCTCCTCAAAGGCTTTGTGGGGTGACCCCAGCAGGAAGAAGGTGGGGGGCATTCAGGGCATGCGGGGGCCTTGTTTGGCATGGGGATTAGCAAGCTCCCAGAAGCGATGGTGGTCTCCCCCCTCCCCACCGGACATGCAGGCAAATATTTGTGCCCAGACTTCGCAGGACAGCGAGAAGGAATTTCATTCTTGCGCCCACCTGCGGCTCGGCTGCCTGGCATTAACCCCTTCACCACTCCATGGGATGGAGGGAGAGGGATGAGGTGCCCTCCCGGCACACCCCGTGTGCCCCGTACTGGAGTGGGGAGCTCAGCTGAGGAGCAGGATGGGAGAAGTGGTACAGTGGAATCACCCCAGGTGCCGGCAGAGCCACTGGCACAAGGTACCCTTGCCCAAAGCAGTAGCTGGAGGGTTCGCCCAGGGGCATCCTCTGGGAAGCACCCAGGGCTTTGTGCTGCAGTGCTGGGCAGCAAGTGGCCTGCGGGCAATTGGGAAAGGTGGGAAAAACTGTGCCAGCCTTCATCCCCAAGCTGCAGCACCCTGACCAAGGTGCCCCTTGCAAGTCCCTTTGCCCAGCGTCACGGTGCTCTCCTGGGACAGCTGTCTGGGAGCAGTTCGAGGAGGATTTGCCCACGGATGTTTATTGCAATTTGCAAATACAGAAAAAAAGCCCAGAGGATCCAGGAGGGACCCTGCTCCCGGGGGCTGCCCGTGCCTGGGGAGGGGCTGCCCGGGTAGAGGGTCCCTCGCTGCCTGGCACCCCCAGAGCCCCGCTGTGCTTCTTTCCCTGGCCCCGGGGCCAGCTGTGCCCTGAGCAAACGGGGCTGTTTGCTCATGCTGGGATTAGCCGCTCCCTTTGTTCCTTTGACTTTCTCTTTCCTTTATGCCAGACCCTTTTATGGGGGCTTCAAAGGGGGCTAGGACCCCCCTCCCTGCCCCTGGAAGGCCAGGTTTGCTTCCCATGCTACCCCGGCCTTGCACTGACATCCTCGGGGTGCCCATCGAGCACACCTGGGTGGCCCGCCGGGACAGCAGCTGTGCCACCGATCCACAGTCTCCCCCCTAACCCGGCGTCTTCCCCCTCGTCCTCCCCCCCTTCCTTGACTCCTGGCACCTCCTGCTGTTTTCAGCACCTTGGCAAAGTGGGTGCGAACGGCTGCCCCTGCAGCGGGATTCCCGGCACTTTGCACCCTGTAAGGAGAGGTGGGAAACTTGGCACCGGGATCCGGCCAGCTGTGCAGTCCCTCAGCCCTGCCTGGCTTCCTGTCCCCTGCCAGAGCCCTGGCTGCCTGGACGGAGCCCCCGCATCTTTCTGGGGTTCCTGTGCCTCACTGCCCCCGCACCCCTTCCCTCCACAGCACACAGCATCGCTGGAATCGAGCGGGGGCCCGCAGCCGGAGCTCCCCCCCCACATCCTCCTCTGCCCCTCTGACACGGACAGCAAATGCTGGCATTGCCCTTTCCAGCAGAGGAATACCAGGCTGCCTGTGGGCTCGGGCTGACACTGCCCGATAGCTTCTGGCATGGCTGAAAAGGAGCATTTTGGAGTGAAGGGACTATTGTGTGCACCTTAGGGTGCCTCAGTGACCATGGGGGCCCATTAGACCTCCAGTTTCCAGTTGCTCTCCAGTTTCCCCCGATGAAATTTTGCCTAATGAAGAGGGAATGCAGGGCACCTGGCATCACCAATGGCTTTGCCAGGGAGGGATGGGGACACAGGCATGGAGGGAGCATGGCAGGGACTGACGTGGGGCTGGTGATGGGACTGGGGCCAGTGCTGGCAGAGGGGTTAAGGGTGCTGATGGGTGTGTTTGCAGCTTGTCACGTCCGCAGACAGGCCACGGCCGTGCAGGGGAAGCCTGGAGGTGTTTGACCCCGGTGCTCACAGGTCCGGTTGCTGCCAGCTGTGCCCAGGCGGGCTGGGCTGCCAGTCTCATCCCTGGAGCTGTGGCACCCGCTGGACCCTCCATCCAGGCACCCCATAAGGTGGGCTGTTGTGGGCTGAGCAAGGCTTGGAGCAGGCGGAGCAGGGCTGGGTGTTTACTCTGACTGTTGTCACCCGGCCAGGCGCTGCTGGGAATTGCCGGCCGCAGGAACAGGGGTGGGAACGTGCAAGAGTGTGCGAGAGCCGGGGTGTGAGAAGGAAATGCACGGGCTATGGGGAGACTGGGAGTAAGAGGATACGGGCTGGGAGCGGGGTGTCCCCCAAAGGGAAGTGCGTGGGAGGCTGCTGGGGCGGGGGGTTATCTGGGCGCGTGGCCTGACGCGTGCCAGGGGAGTGCGCATGTGCACACGTGGGTCTGAGGGTGCACGTGGGGCGTGTGTACCGTGTGCCATTATGGACACGCACGTACACATGGGTATGGGGCTCTGCACCCAGAGTGCCTGGTGGGGGCTGGCTTTGCTGGGGAATGCCATGCCCATGTCAGGGCCTGGAGCTGAACAGACCCCCAGTACTTCTCCCACCCACCCCACTCCCAACCAGTACCCCCAGTGAAACAGCCCTGGGACCATGCACCAGCCAGATCCTTGTGCTCCATTACCCTCCCCAGCTTAGAAGGGTCCCTGTGCATCACAGCCACCCCAGGGATCTCAAGCTCCCCAAGTTGCCTCTGGGCGATGGATGTAGGGGTCAGACCACAAACCGGGTGAGGGTTACCAGGGATGGGGTCTAACTCTGGGAAAAGATCACCGGGGATGAAGTCCACCTCTGGGAGAGGGTCACCAGGGACAGGGTTCACCTTTGTGAGAGGATCTTCAGTGGCTTTCATACCTGTCTACCATGGCCAGGAGCTGATGCTCCTGGGGCTGTCCAGTGCAGGGTCACTGATGCCATCCCTTCTGCAGGTACCAGGGCCACCCCCACCCCCTGGACAGGCACAGCAGAGGCACTGACCACCGAGGCGCTGGCTGCCAAGCGCTCAGGACAGGGGCCAGGTGAGCAGACGCCGAGGGCGCCCAGGGACGTCTTTCCCTAGCCCAGAGCCAAGGGAGGAAGCGGCGGGAGGCAGGAAGCCGTCCCCCGGGCCCGGGGCCCCTGCTGTGATTTTGCTCGAAGGTCAGCGGCGACACAACAGGAAATCGTGCTGCCTCGGCTGGGCGGCCAGGCCGGAGCCGCAGAGCCGCGCTGTCCCGGGGCCGCTCCCGGCCTCCGGCCCTCCGTCCCGGCTGGGCGGCTCGCGGGGAGCCCGCGCCAACACTGCCCTCCATGGAAGGGGGACGGGAGCCGGGGAGCAGCCGCTGGCCCCAGGGCGGAAGATGCAGGGCCGAAGCCCCCAGCTGAGCATGGAGCTGAACAGTGAGTGCACGGCTGAAAGGGGGGACGGGAGCGCGCAGGAAGGGACAGTGGAGGCTGCGGCCCCAGAGCCAGAGTGTGCCCCGCGTGATGAGCCCCACAGGTGGGCACCAAACCCTAAGGGTGGCTTTGGACTGGTTGGACCTGGCCACCACCAGCGTGCGAGGGCAGCCAAGCATCTCTCCCTGCTCATCCTAGGCAAACAGGCTGCGTTGAGGGCTTTTGGGGACAGGTGCAGTGTCAGGGCAGGCAGCGAGGCAGGAGGACGTATGGAGGGCCTGTGGAGAGGAGATGCCTGTTTCCAGGATGGGCAGTCCCTGGGCACAGCAGCACTGGGGGAGGCAGTGCCGGCAGGAGAGCACTCAGCCAGGGCAGCAGCAAGGACCAGATGTTCCCTGTGGGACATTGCAGGCCGGGATTCCCCGAAGCGCACGTGACACCCAGAGCTGCTCTTGGCATAGATCTGGAGGGCTGGCCCTGGTCTGGACAGGGAGTGGAGCTCCACTCCTTTGCCTGGAGCAGGGCCAAAAAACCTGGCACAGACATGGCTGTGGGGCCCCTCAGCACTAACCACTGGCACATAAACCTCAGCTCTCCCCAGTGAGCAGTGGGCACCCGTGCTGACTGACCAGAGGGCAGTACCAGGCCCTCCTCAGCCCCCAGACCTCTCCCTGCACTCCCACCACAGAGTCATAGAGGCTACCACTGGGATGCAGAGAGGGCTTGCCACTGCAGGCATGGCCCTGGGCTGGTACTGCCCAGGGAGGGTGGCACAGTGCCCAAGGTAACCCCATTTTCCCCAGGACTGCTCCTCCTCACATCCTTCCTCCTGCACGTGAAGGAAGACCATGCCAGCCCAACACGGCTGGTCTGTGACAACAGGCTCATCCAGAAGTACATCCTGGAGGCCAAAGACATGGAGAAGAGAGTGGTGAGGATACAGTCCCCCCCAAAACCCAAGGAACATGCACAGCTCCTCAACATCTCCTCTCCCCAATAGGGCCAGTGCCAGGCCCTGCCTGTGCTCAGCTGCCCTGTGGTGCTGCCCTTGGTGGACTTCAGCCTCCAGCAGTGGAAATCCAAATCGGTGAGAGGGGCTGGGATGAGGTGCTGGCACTGGCATGCCCACTGGACCGGAGAAGGCACCTTGGGTTGGCACAAGCACCAGAAATGCTGAGCAAGATGCCTGTGGGCATATCTGGTGGCATGAGGGGGTAGAAGACCCCATTCAGACCTAGGGTGGGCACGGGAATGGGTCAGGCTACTCATTATTTGCTCCCCCAGAACGAGACAAAGCGGCGGGAGATCCTGTGTGACCTGGCCCTGCTGGTGGGTGCTGCCACAGGGGCCCTGGGCCAGGTGAGCGAGGAGTGCGGGGCCAGGCAGCTGAGCCAGCTTTACCAACATGCCAACTCCTTCTTCCTGCTCCTGCAGACCTTCAGCTGGGAGGTAATACCTTCCCACATGAGCCAGTCCACCATGGCGCAGGTGCCAGCTGGGCTGGGTGGGGTACAATGATGTTTGTCACCCCTCTGTCCTGCTCTCGCCCCTCAGGCAGGACACTGGGAGCTGAGCTGCTCCCCACACTCCATGGAGCAGACCCACATCACCAGTGTCTTCCTCACCTACCGGCAGCTGGTGCAGGGCAAGTTGCGCTTCTTCTTCCACGACCTGGCCAAGGTCTTGTGCAAGCAAGGACAGGGGGGCAGCAGAGACCCTCCGTGCGGGGCCCAGTGAAGCTGCACACAGGGTTCACCCCAATGTGACTTTGGAGAAATCCTGCTGGACACTGAGCTGTGCTCTGGGTGCCCAGGAAGATGCCCACAAGGAAAGGGTTGGCTCCTGTTCCTCAAGTCTTCGGAGACCATGCAACCCACAAAGGCAAAGAGCAACACCCACGTGCTGGTGGGCACAGGCCCTGCTCCCACCTGGGCAGGCACCTCTACTGTGAATGCTTTTCGATTAAAGAGCTATTTTTCTAAAGGGTTGTGTGTGTCCTCACCGGGTCCGGGGCAGGAGCAGCCCCTCTGGGACATGCTCCCAGCTTCTGCTCCCTCCCGTGGCAGCCACCAGCACTGCACAGACCCCCGGCCCAGCCCTGCACAGGGCCTGAGCTGCCACTCCTCACCCCTGGCACCCACCTGCCTCTCCCAGCCCTAGCACAATCTGTACCTGGAGTGGTGGCAGGTGGAGAAGAGCCCAGGGCAGGTGTGGACTCCTCATCCTTTCGGAAGTGGCAGAGGCCCCCTTTGTGCCCTGTGCAGGTGTATCCACTCCCTGCCAGCCTCATCTCTCAGCAAGCAGAGCCAGGAGTAGAAAACATCCCAGTTTAATCAAAACCAAGTCAGCCTGCCTTGGGATGGCTCCTGAGGGAATGGTCCCCAGGCCCTCGGCAGGCAGGCAGCTGTCCCAGTCTGGCTGCCCCTGGCCAGAGCCAGGGCTGAGCCTACTGTTGAGCACAGGAAGGTGGAGGTGAGGAGATGCCATCAGGCAGGACCGGAGTACACGGCACTGTCTCCACTTGGACGTCAGGCACCTCTCTCCTTCCAAACGGAGCTGTGGATCCCAGCAGGAGTCAGAAGAGGCTGGGATGAAGAGGGAGACTGCTCCTTCCTCCCCAGCCCCAGAGAGGCCAGGAAGCATGGATGCTGTGTCAGAATTTGGGGTCTCGGGTCTCCTGTTTGCTTGCCAGCAGGATGTCTGTGGGGCAGTCGTGGAGGTGTGCTAGAAGGCCAACTTCTTCATCAGAAGGTAAACGCGAGAGTCCACCTCAAACCCGTGCAGGTTGTTTGCGTCTCCCTGCAGCCGCATAAGCAGCCCCCCATAGGACACGTAGGCAGAGCTGGGACAGGAGGAGAAGAGATATGAGAACAGGGAATCCCACGGAAGACCCAAGCTGAAATCCCAGTGCCCCCCACACCACCCCGGGGCACTCACAGGCGTGTGGCCGCCTCTGTGGAAGTCTCGTCCCCTTCGATCCGGTACACCTTGCCGTACATCACGTACTCAAACTGGTCTGCCCTGCAACAGCACAGCATGAGGTCACCAAGGGATCAAACCTGGGCAGGCCCCCGGCTCAGTGTCTTCTGGGAGAAGGTATCTCAGAGTCACAGAATCAATCAGGTTGGAAAAGTTCTTTGAGATCATCACTGACCGATCACCACCATGTCAATTAGACTATGGCACTCATGGCCATGCCCAGTCTTTCTCTAAACACCTCCAGGGATAGTGACTTCACCATCTCCCTGGGCAGCCTGTTCCAATGTTTAATCACCCTTTCTGTGAAGAAATCCCTCCTGATGTCCAGCCTGAGACACCCAATCTCAGCACTCCCCCTTTACCCCCGCGCATGCTCACGTGGGTCCCAGCTGGGCCCTGTACCTGGACGGCCGGTCGTCTGTGGGGTTGTACTCGCCGTCATCCAGGGTGCCATCCTCATACAATGTGCTGGCGATGACCAGGCGGAATTTGTCCCCTGGGAAGAGGACAGAGGAGAGGTGAGAAGGTGGAGGCACAGCCAGAGCAGCAGCAGCTACAGCCAGAACTCAGGGTGGTGGTAAACAGCCACCCTGGCAGGTGTTTTACTTGTGATATAAAAGCCCTGCCCCTGCTGCCAGTCCTCCACCAGGACTGTGGGGAACGAGTGAAAGGTCACACTGAATCCTGTGCTCCCCTATTCCCCACATCATGGAGGAGACCAGAGCCACCAGGACACCACTTCTGGTGTTTTTGTGGGACACGGCAAGATATTCACAGGGAGAGTCCCAGAGAACTTGGCTGGACCCTGGGCAGAACCATGACCCCTGCAGCACCTCTTCTGTGCCTCACTGAGGGCAAATTCTCTTTTTCACCCATTTAGTGTATCTAGCTGCAAAAGTTAATTTCAAGTCTCCCTTAAAGCTTGGCATCAGCAAGTGAGACATTTTCCCCAGACATCTCTGGGGAATGGGACAGAGGTGAGTCTAAACACACACAGGGTGGTGAACCAGAACCCAGCTCAGCCCCAGCACATCAGGAGTGCCCTGAAGCTCCTGTGACCTGGGACAGCACAGGGGTCCAAGGAAGTCTGGGACAACTCATTTCTTGTTCACAGCAAATTCAGGCTCCATCCTCGGAGTGCCTCTCCAGCCTACCCCACCAAAGCTGACACTGCTGACCCTCTCTGGATACCAGCCTGATGGCTTACCGAGGTCCACCGGGTAGATCTGGATGTTCACGTCCAGGATGAGATCCATCTTGAAGGACTCACTCTCGCAGTGCAGGCGAGACACTAGGGAGAGCAGCAGAGTCAGGGATCAGTACAGAGAACATCCCCAGGGGCTGGGTGGGAACAGGGCCCACTCCCCACCTCTGTCGGGCATCTGAGCTGTTTGGGGGTGGATACGGGGATGGATGCCGGAGCCTGGGAGCTGACGGAGGTGTGCACAGGCAGAAGAACACGGTGGGGCGGGGAAAGAAGGGTTCCGGGGGTCGCGGGGCGAGAGGGGCACAGCAGCCGGGCTGGGAATGCCCTGGGGAAACGGGACGCTCCAGGGGCAGGCAACACGCGGAGGTGCCGGGGCACAGCGGCCACCGCCGGCGGGAGGAGCAGAGCGGGGACGGGGAGAGGCCGAGGGAGGGCGCGGGGCCCCACTCACCACGGTCGAACTTCTTGCCCTCGGGGTCGATGTCCTTCACGTCGAAGATGTCCTCGAAGAGGATCCCGGCCATGGCGGCAGCTCCGCGTCCCAGCTCCGCGTCCCGGCCCCGCTCCCTCTCCTGCTCTCTCCCGCTCCCGCCCGGCGCGCGCCGATGACGCGCCCGCCCTTCCAGCGCCGGGCGGAAGCAGCTTCAGGGTGGGCGGGGCGACCTCCCTGCCAGCACCGCGGCGCCGGCGGCGGGGGAGCCCCGCGGTCCTAGTGCCCGCCCCAGTCCTGGTGCCCGCGCGGTCCTAGTGCCCGCCCGCCCCCGCGGCGCCGGCAGGGGGCGCTGCGAGGCCGCGGATGGAGCCGCGCGCGCCGCGGCCCCGCCCCCGGGGAAGGAGCGGCCCCGGCAGCGCCCCCGTGCGGCTGGTCCGGGGTGTGCGGGGGGGACCGGGGGGTCCCCGATGGAGTTGGGGATGTCCCTGTGTGGGTCCAAGCTGTCCCGCGGGGGTCTGGGGTGTCCCGGGTGGTGGGGCTGCCCCTCGGGAGGGTCCGAGCTGCCCCCGCGGAGGATCTGGGCTGTCCCGCGGGAGTCTCGCAGCCCGCGTCCCACCCTCGTCGCACAGAGGGGCTTCACCTGCGTTCCCCGGCCGCAGGCAGGCATCGATGTGATGAGCTGCGCGGACTCAGCCAGCGATGGCGCCAGGGCCTGCAGCCCCCACCGGCTCCTTCCCCCTTCCACGACAGCCACTGGGGGGGGGGGGCAGACGTGTGACACCGTCACCCGTGTCCTGCCGATGAACCGTGAGGGGAGCAGGGGGGTCTGGCACGGCCGGGGGCTGCTCACACGTCGGGCACCACGGGGTGCTTCATGCCTGGCATCTGGTCGGAGCCGCCGGCACGGGTTCAGGAGTTCAGTCCTTTTCCCCCCGGTTCCCCGAATACCACCGCCAGCCTGCCTGAACAAATTTTTCCCTGGCTCAGGGAAGACGTTGCAGCGGGGACCCTTCACCTCGTTTGGGCAGCGGGTGCCCGCTCAGATGTGGCACAGAGGGGGCTGTCACAAGGGCTGGTGGGGCGGGCAGGTGTCCTGGTGTGACGGGGACTGGGGAAGGCAGGTGGCACGGCTCCGTGTGTGCCGCACATTCCAGCAGCTCTCCGGAGACCACGAGACCGTGAGTGGGGACATCTATGGGACACAGGTCCCTGTGTGTGGCACTGATGCCTGCAGCGAGGTGGGGCATAGCCCACACTGTCCCCAGGAGCCAGACATCTCCAGGTGGTCCGGGGTGGTATCCAGACCGAGGTGCCCCAGCACTTGCACCAGGATGCCTGCCACAAGATGCCTGTGGTGCCCAGACCCACACAGGTGTGGCCTCCCCACGGCACGTCCCCTCCGTGACACGGTGTCAGCGCATCCCCGCACATGCCTGCGGCGCAGGCAGCGGAACGGGGCAGTGTGGTGACACAGCGGGGACACCAGCTTGACGGGGGTGCTGTTGGAGGGGGCTGGTGGCCTGTTGGGGGGGTGCGGGCGGTTCACGGCAGGGTCACCCCGCGGCGGTGGCACTCATCAAGGATAGTCTTTAATGTGCTGGGACATAACCTCTGCTCCTTCTAATCATCGGCTGGATGGGTGATCCTTCACGAGCCCCCCAGCCCCCTCCCCACTCTACCCACCCAGACTCGGGCGGGGGGGGCTGGTACAAACCTCCCTGCCAGAATGTGGGGCCACGACAGGCACCTCACCTGGTGCAAAGTGTGGGGTTTGGACCCCCTACCCCGGGGTCCCTGTGCCCTTCTGCACCCCAGGGTGCCCCTGCCTGCTTGTCCGGGGTCCAGGGCTGGGTTGTTGGGGGCCTGGGCACCCGTGGGTGGGGGGCTGCGGGAGGCACCCGGGGCTGTGCAGGTTACCGGGGGGTGGCAGCAGCACACTGCATGTGGCAGAGCACCCCCAGGGTGTGTCGAGCTGGGAAGTCCTACAACGGCCAGGCTCATCAGTATGACCAGTGCCCCCTCCAGCATCCCCAGGGTGCCATCCTGTGACCAACCAGGCAGGGACCAGCCGGGGCAGAGTGATGCGGGGTCCAGGGCTGTATTTCGGGGAGCAGTCTATGTGCCAGCCTCCACTATGTTCAGGCATACCCTGGTGCGATTCAGGCTGTGGGGGCTCTGGCACAGCTGTGCTCCCTGCTTGGATGCTCTCAGGGCCACTGCAGGGTGATGCAAAGGGCTAATCCCACCTGGTTGTCCCTGCCTGCCCCTGCTGAGACCTGGCACACTCGGTGCAGGCCAGCAGGCAGTTGGGACTGTGCTCGCCAGCCGGCGAGGCAGCCCCCCAGGGGTGCTGCTACCCACCGA